TGCATTTTCATCAAGAATGCTTGGAAGCCTAATTCATTCAGGTCTATTTTTTCCATTATAGGATTATAATCTGTTTTGCAGGCCAAGTTATTCTTTCTTCTCAACTTTTTTCTTTTCTTTTTCCATTTGGAATACTGTATTCTAAATTCTATGTACTTGATTCCTTTATGGTAGAAGCTGCTAAATATTATGTTGGTGACTAGAATCTTGGTACTTGAACACTTGTTTTTTTCTTCCTCATCTGATTCCAATATTTTTTTCTTTGACCTGGAGGCCTGATCATGTTCTGAGAGTTGTCTTTTGGGGCTCTTCATCCAGGAAGAGCCATTGGAATTCTGGCTGTTTTCCACTTTATTGTCTTTCTAATACATCTTGGCAATTTTCTTTCATGGTTTCTTGAAATATGATATTCAGGCTCTTTTTTGAAGTGTCATGGCTTTCTGGCACTGTGTTGGTAGACCAGTGATTCTTTGAATTTTTTTCAGTCATTTGTTTTTTATATGATACCTTATATTTTCTTCCATTTTCCCACTCTTTTGACTTTGTTTTAACTTTGTTTGTTTTCCAGTAGCGTCATTAACTTCTTTTGATTCTGATTTTCAGGAAGTTTGTTTTACTTTTGTAAGATATTTTATATCTTTTGTGCTAATCTAGTTCTTGCTTCATTTCTTTGCAGAATTCTAGCTAACTTCATAGGCAAGCTTTGTTTTAATTTAAGGCTTTGCTTGTAGGCCTTCCTGAGTTATTTTCTTCTGATTTGTATCTCGGGTGTCGCTAGTACCAAAATGACTTTTTATCATGGGAGTCTTTTTGTTTATTCATTCTTCCAGATTTAGTTCCCAAATTGGTCCTTCATATGAGTCCCAGGCTCCAAGTACTTCTGGAAGGAACGTCTTACTTGGTTCTGTCCTGTGTTCTTTGAGGACCTGCTACTGCTTTTTTTGGTTACCTAGGGTACTATGTTCCTCAAATATCTCAGGGTTGGTTCAGGCCAGAAAACTGCAAAATTTTAGCACACTATGAGCACTCTGACACAGGGCAAAGTCAAAGTCTGATTGTTAGCCCTCTGGTCTGACCTTTGCAAGCTCCTGACCACATTTTGTGCCTGGGCCACACATCTATAGGCTTGCCTCTGATTTCAGTGTCAGTAGACTGCTGATGGTCCCAGTCCCTATCTGGTGACTGGAGTGCTTTGCACATTCAATAACAATAGAACTGCAATGTCATCTCTGTTATGAGCTCCCTGCCCTGGTCACTGTTACAAGCCTCTGACCTGGCCCTAATCACTGATGCAAGTGTCTGACTAGGCTGCATCCAGAGCCTCACTCCAGCAGCGACAGTGCCCTTCAAGTGATATTATTGCTGCACTCTACCCCAGAACACAGCCTCAGGTAACTCTAGGCCCAGCCTGTTCCAGGGGTTCAACTCTGCAGCTACTGAATTGGCTCCTGTTTGTACTCCCTAGGCTGGAGAACTGGTTCTCTCTGTTTTCTTCTAGTTCCCTTCATCATCACTACCTGGTCTTGTCAAATCCTTATTTGAGTAGTTTGGGGGTCAAGCTGGGTTGCATTACTTCCTCCCACTCCACTATCTTGGCTGTTCTCTTCCTCATTGTAGACTTGATGTCAGTCGGCCAGTCAGTTTTCCTAACCGTTAGAAAAGGCTGCCTCAAATAATGGTGGGTTCCCCCTCCTTGGAGGTCTTTAAGCAAAATCTTAATGATCATTTATCTCAGATGTAGGCTGAATAAGATCATTTTGCAGAGGCCTCTTTCCTACTCACAGAATCTGTGTTTTTGAGTTTTATTGTAAGGGATTTTTTTTTAAACATTTCTCTTTGTATTTATTTAGTTGTTATCCTCCTCTCCTGATCATGACCTTTCCTGCAGTACCAGATAGGTACAAATATGGCTATTGTACTCTTGACCCTCCCCTTCCCAGCATGTGAGGATTAGATTGCTGAGCAGTCAGATCTAGAATGGATAGTATGGGCTTTTTTGGTTGTGAGATGTGGGGAGAGCATCTAACTCCTGAGTGCTTCTCCAGTACATCTCTCCTGTGTTTTGATCATCTGCTTCATTTGACGTTTTACCTTGTTTCTTGCAAGGCTTTGGACTGGAGAGAGTTGATCTTGTTTAGAACCAGCCATGTTTCCATCTTTGCTAGCTTTTGTTTTCAAAATGTGATGAGTTGGGGAAATGTAAGCTATAGGCTTTTGGTGCTGTTGGGTCCATTGTATAATGAACTGCTCTTGGGTCAAGGACTATGCATATCTGTTATTAGAATATGTGAAACATAAGGAAGCAAAGGACCCAGCAATGGTTTTCAGTTAAATATAGAACCGAAATTTATATAATTGTTTGAATATGTCAAAATTATTTAATACATACATTTATTAAAATGTCATAATAAAATCCTAAGTGACTGCTTCAGTCAGGAGTGTTGATACTCTTAAGTATCAATGCCACTTAAATATCTTAAGAAAATCTTTGGCAATCAGTGGAAATTAATGAGTAATAGAAGCAAATAGAGAAAGCAAATTCTTCATTGTCAATAAATATGGGGGAGATATATATATATATATATATATATATGTGAATAAAATAGATCCAATTAACTCATTTTGTATATTTTCTTTTATGAAAATCCTATGGTTTTCATAAGATTTGTAGCATTTTTATTTAACTTTTTTTTCAATATTTTATTGCTATAGGAAGAAAAACTCTCTAACCATAATCAGCTAATTATATGCCCATACAATATCTGTTGTCACAGCACTCCGTCCTTACTAGAATCTGCAGAATAGCTATATGTTAGTACTTGATTTAAGGAAGGAAACTTAATTAGTAAAATGTAATCTCAGCTCTGTCACTGTGACTGTTGCTTACAGATATGATATCCTTAGGTCTCAATTTACTTTTCTGCAGAATAAGAGGATTGGACAGAACATTAACATGCTAGTACAGTGAGAAGGAAGTAGTGAAGTAGTTGATAAAGACTTTTCTGAGGAGTGTGTGTGAAGGACTCAAGATTGGCTTAGGGGAGACAAATAGTGCTAAGCTCTAACTTGGAGGAAAAAGTAATGCTTGTTTCCTAATTTTTCAAACACAACCCTGTTGTATAAGTCTGCCTCTGAGTTAGATTTGTATGTTTTGGAATAGATAGAAGAAGAGGCATCAGGCTTCAGAAGAAGAGTAGTGATCCGAGGCTCTGTAAGCTGGCTACATCTAACTGATGTGCTAGGGATGATACAGAGAGAAAAATGAAACAGAAAATGAAAGATCAATTCTCTAATTGAAAGCTGCCTTTGTGCTTTGTTTTTATTTCACTGCTTCTCATTAATCCTGTGCCAATACAAAATCTGCCCACACTTAACTGTTACCATTTGTTTTTGCACCAGATTTTCAGACTTTGATTATGTAACCAAAGCAAAAGCAATGAATCAAAATAGTTTGAGAAAAGGAAATTCTATTCCTGAAGTTCCTTGAACAGCAAGATAGATCTGTTTGATTATGGAGAACAGGCCAAACAAATAAGAAAGGTAGCTACAGAATTATTTTGAATACCTTAAATTCAGTACAGGCAGATTTTTAAAAATGCTTCCCTGGCTTTATTTCGGAATCTGTTTGTATACATTCTATTTGGAGGTGCTCACTTCATATTAAGCAAACCATATTTATTCAGCTTAATTGTATGTTATGTTAGGAGAGTTAGAGGATAGATGAAGGCAATGACAAATGACCACATGTGCCTTTGTCTCCCTCCCTTTTTGCTCCTTTGACGTAGGGGTTTCTAATTATCGATTAGCTAAGGTGGCTGTTGCTAGGTCCTTTTTGTGAGGAGAGTAAGAACACTTACAAGAAGAATAGCCTGGGGACGCAGGGCATACGTAAGCCAAAAATGAGAGTGGAAGTACACCAATCATAAGTAAATTTCCATCATCATGCGGTAACAATATTAATGTGAATTTCACTTTTAAATAAACATGCTTTTATCGGCATCAGCATGTTGCCAATTTGGGAAAAAAGTTAATACGTTGCCTTTCATGGTTTTAGTAAATAGCAGTTTATTATATCCAAGATGTGCTTCATTCATAAGCTGTTATTTTAAATCATCTTAAAGTGTGAAAAATATTTGTTCATGTATTCTAGGAAATATGAAAGCTATTATAATTTTGCTTGTTATCAAGATTGTGTTTTTTGAGAAATAAGGGATTCAAATTACTTTTTACTTTGCCCATGACAGCATGATGAGGCAAGGAACATGATGTCTTAAAGGAGATTAGTTTTTAAAGTTGTATTCATCTGCATTTGAAAGCCTTAATAAATTCATAAAGCAGAATCCATTTAATTGAATTATAAAAAGTTTCAGCACACTTACAGATAAATGGAGTTTTATTTATTAAGATCATCTAATTGAGCACTCACTATGTAGTAGGTTCTGTGAGGGATAAAAAAGAAGCATTCACTGCCCTTTCAAGTAGCCAGTCCAGTTCAGGAGGCAGGACTTCAGTACAAACGCTAGGTGACCACTTAGCTGGATTCGAGGAGTTTGAGCTGAAAGAGAGTCCAAGCTAGGCCTTCTGTAGCTGAAGAAACTAGGGCTAAGAAAGGTACACTAACCTGTCCAGAGTCACACAGGTAGGTCCTGAGCAATGAAGCTGAGACTGGCACTGGTGCCCAAGGCACAGGGCTGCTGCTCTCTACATGGCACCCCTTGATGCAGTAGATGGGACTCCTGGGGGAGGGAGTAGAGGGGATCATGTAACTTCTCCCATTTAAGTTCTGTTAGTTCATAATTCTGAAAGTCAATAGTAGGAGAAGATACCAATAGAAAAAATGTCACAAAGTGTAATATATAAGTGAATATAATTTAGATGGATGTGTTAAAGGTTCATTTTCATAAACAACCACTATTCTTGCCTATTTAAGCTCTGTGAATTGTATGCATTTAGATGATGGAAAAATGCATATTTCATTTTTTTTGTTCTTTATTATACAGGTTTCTGCATGTTTGTACTGAGCTTAGTGAAGAAACATTATCGTCTTCAGTTTTACATGGTGTGTATTAACCATTTTTTATGGTCACTGATTTGTTAAAGAAATGATTTCTTGGCTATACTCTTGAACGTTTGAAATTATGCAGTTTCAAACAGGCGCATGTACCCTTCAGCATAAGGGATAATAATTGAAGTTAGAAAAGGCCCTTTTGAACCCAACTTAATCTTTACAGATGAAATATCTGTTATAAGGTAAGAATGTACATTTAAAGGCCTTTGATTTTGGAGTTTAAATAATCTTATAATATTAAAAATGTTCTTTTGTTCTTTAAAATTAATGGATATTATTATTCATAACTTTAGAGATTTTACCTCTATGACCCTTTAAGAAGTTAAAATTGAAAAAAGTTTATCCCATCCTTCTCTAGGAGAGATTATTTTTACATAAAGTATTTAGAGGATAGCAGAGGGGATGTATGTATCAGTAGTACAGGTTGTTAGATTTCCTATCCTGTCAGAAGCAACATGGCATGGTGGATAGAGTGCTGGACTTGGTATCAGTAAGACGTGGATTCAGAACCTTCGCCCCTGTACCCCGTCTTTGACACTTGCTAGCTGTGTGACCATGGGTGAATCACTGAACTTCTCCTACTTTTAGGAAGCTCTCTAATCCACTTGAGTTAGAGAGGTTTCATTCTCCATCAGTGCAGGGAGTTTCCCACACCATTAAAATGCCAGCATGTGATTAGGGCCCTCGGAGGCCATCTAGTTCAACCCACTCATTTTACAGATGAGGAGATTGAGGCTCAGGAAGCATAAGTGACTGTAGTCACACCAGTTGTAAGTGTAAGCAGTCCTCTGACTTCAGTGTCAGTGATCTTCCCAGCGTTCTATCCTGTCCTCATATTGTTGTATCCAAGTCTTGGTTTTATGTACCTTTAAGTTACATGTATGCTGAACTAATTTCCTTTTAAATTATGAAGCTAATATGCAGTTATTTAATTTAAATAGAATATTTGGTTTTGAGAATACATGCACTCTCAAAGAACGTACCTTCTCAAGATCAGATTTTGAATATATTTCCTCTTATTTCTACTACTACGTGATACGGTTGAAAAGAACATCAGATTTGTAATCAGAAGTCTTTTATGCTTAATACCTTTTATACATAATGCTTGTGTGACCTTGGGCAAGTCCCTGTACTTCTGAGCCTCAGTTTTCTGAGGACTAGATGGGCCTGAAGCTCCTTTCAGCTCTAAATCTGTGATCTTATTATCCAGCCAACCAATTGGTAGGAGAAAGGAGTAATGAAATGTAGAAAGAAGGAACTAGAGAAGTCCAAGGTGATGAGTACTTTTTAGCTTCACAGGCATTCTGTTGCCCCTAGAAAAGATCACTGAAGCAGGAAAAAAATATGATAACTAGCTCTTGGTTGTCAACAGGAAGCAGGTATGCTGTGAATAGATGAAAATTCCAGAAATACCACAGCTATATTATAGTCAAATGTATCATTTTCATAACTAGATTTTTTGAGGTAAAATAAAAGTCGTTTCTATTTGGTGATAACTTCCCTTTCACTTACCTACCTTTGAGTAAAAGTGCCAAAGGTCATCAAAATGTCAAAAGAAGGAAGAATTCTGGAGCCCCTGAGAAGCCACAAACTGCAGTGATCAGAAGTGAAGTCCACAGAAGAGTTTCAGACGTTAGGAGCATCTGAACCTTTTGATAGATATTCAGTTAATTTGAGTTGTTTGAAGTCAAGAAAAGTTACCTAGGGAAAGGAAAGCCATTTTTAAGCCTATCAATATGTTTGGACTATAAGTACTCAGAATGTTGATCTAAATTAATTATTAATTTATTATTAGTCTTAATGTTATTAATAATAATCGTTAAATTAATTAGCTCACAAATAGTACCACATAATAGCTCGCACTGGTATTATAGAATTAATTCATAACTCATAAATTCCTCATTACCAATTTAGCCTGATTCAAATATGTCTTTATACAGTATATCACAGTATCTACCGTTTGCTCATTTTTTAAAAAAGTTCAGATGCTTTTAAATTACATGATAAAAAGTATTTTTCTAGCTTTTTAGAAAACAAATATTATAACAGCAGAGTTGTGTTATACTGCATAAGGACAACATTAAGTACTAGAACTGATGGCAGAAATTTGAATGTGCTCATTGAAGCATCTGCTCATTATCTCCTCAGCTTTAGGTGTCTCGACCTGTGTAGCATTCACTAATTGTTACCTTGTTGCACTATTAACAGTTCGCATGGACTCATGTCACTTTGCTGATAACTGTAACTCAGTCTCATCTTGTCATCCAAAATCTGTTCGAAGGCATGATATGGTAAGGGGACCAAGAATAAATTGCTTTCTGATGGTTTATCAAACACTAATTCTACTCTTAAATAAAATGTATTTTTATTTGAGTATTTGACAGTGAAGGACCAGATTCTTAATGGTTATGCTTCTAATCACTTGGAACATTATATTAATAGTGCTTTTTAAAGGACCTTTTATTTAAACTCTTCTTGTTCAGATTCTAACTAAAACTCAGAAATTTCCCCAAAGGGCAACAAAAAATGAACTGAATTTTCTTATGACATAAAGCGGTAGTCATCCTTTAAAGTTCTAGTGGTGGAGGAGACCCTAAGGTTCTTCACGGAAATGCCAACAAAATAAACTCTTGCAGATACTATGACAAGAAAGTCTTTGTGTATGGATTTATTGACTAACAGCATGTCTACCTGATGACCTAATTAAGTTTGATCACAAGGTAGAAGGGTCACAGCAATTTCTTTTCTCCTTAACTTGCTTTGGTGAGCATTCATACAGACAAACTCATGGATCATTAAAGTGTTGAAGAACTAAACAATAACATTGCATTTTTTTCAAGTATCTTATCACTTCATGCAATGGAAGCTGAATGTGGAACATGGCAGTTCCTATATAAAACACTTGGCCATGTGTGGTGAACAGTGAAAGAATCGCTTGTTCTTTGGATTGAATATTTGTGTTTGTTCAGTCATGTCTATATGGTATGTATTCTTCAATGTCAGACAGGAATTTCGGAGTTCTGATTTAATAGGTCACAATCTGTAACAGATTTGTAAAAGATAGGGTAATGGAAATACGTATTCATTTGTGATTAAGTTACACAGCATTTTGTGAATATTGATTATAGTTAGGCATGAGGATAATTTTCAGAAATTCAGTCTCAACAAATCTGTAAACTCATCTTTTAAAATAGTTTATAGGTGAAAAATTTAACTGAAGATATTTAACTAAAAAAATCTTTAAAAGCAGTTTTGCAAAAAAAAATGTCTATTTGAATCATTAAAAATTGGAATAAAACCTATGATGGGTTTTCTAAAATAAATTTTAAATTTAGGTCTTATTGAAGTTAATAAATTAAGTAATCAGTCAACTTCACAGATGTAGATCTAGCTAAAATAGCTAATGTAAGACCTAAAAGATTTAAACATTATAATTATACTTCGTTGCTCACTCTTTCCACTGTCATAGTGGAGGCCCTTTTGTGCCTTAATTAGATGGTCTTGAAGAGTTGTGTACCCAAGAAAACTTGTCACCCTGCAGACAACTTGGTTATGAACCTTTCTGTACTTTGTTAGGCCTGTGCTTAGGGTTCAGCCTTGTTTCTACCCTTGTAGACAGTCTGTGCCACTTGGCAGCTCTGCCAGAGTCTGAGCTCTATTGGCAGAGCTTAAGGGAGTTGACAGTCTTATTGACCTCACTACAGTCTCTTCAAAAGAAAACTGTTCATAATGTAGCATAGATTTCTCAACTTATCTTTTATATAGGCAATAGATTTTTTTTTCCATTTTAGCCAGTTTTTGTAAAATAAATCTAACCTATGACTTGATTTCCTTGTATTATAACTTATTCGTATTACTTTGGCATTTAAATCTGCCCTATGCTATGATATTGCTTTTTATATTAAAGAGATTTTAATACTTAGTATTGTCCTTCAGAGAGATTTTTTTTAAAGTTTAATTTCAGATCATGTTTAAATTGCTCTGTTAGAACAAGTGACACTTGAGTGCCTCGTGCTCTGAGCAGGGATGGAAACACCAGTATTGTTACCATTGGTTGTGAGTCGTATTTTGGTAGAAGCATTTAATCAAGTCACCTGTTTTTTTTCTGCTGACTCTTTTTAAGGTTTCTTGTTCCCATCTCAAGTGTTATCTGCAATGACATTACAGCCTACCTTTTTGGATTCTTCTTTGGGAGAACTCCCTTAATTAAGGTAATGTAAAAACCTGGCCAGGCAGCTCTCATATTTTTTTTTCCCAAAAGAAAAAGCAATAACAACAAAAACTCCAAACTTAAAAATATGTCAGAAATTTTTAAATGCAACAATACTTCATGTGTCTATAAATGTAAAAAAGATTGGAAGGGAGCTCATGGAAGGAGAGTACAGAGGGAAGATCTTGGCTCAGAAGCCATCGTGGCATAAGAAAGAGTACTTGGAAGGAGTATTATGAAATAATAGAAGGCCTTGAGTGACGTGACCAGATTTGTATGTAAGAAAAATTATTCTGGCATGTCTGTGCAGCAGGGATTTGGGGTAGAGGGGACTAGAGGAACCATGAGAAGGGATACGGAAGTATGAATGCCAATGACAGCCTTGCTAGTGGGGTAGGAATCAGGACTGGAGAGAAAAAGACAGAGAAGGAGATACTTGAAATTGGACTAGAAAAAGATGGTGAGAGGTAAAGGAAAAGGAGGACTTAAAAGACAGTCCCAAGTTTTAAATGGGAGAGTTTGAATGGCCACGGCAAAAAAAGAAAGAAATTAGGAGGAAAGGCAGGTTTATGAGAGCGTGATTATGATTTCATATTCTTATGTGTTGCGCTTGTTATGCTGATGAGACATTCAGATAGAGATTTCATGTAGCAATTGTGGATCTAAAGCTTAGAAGGAAGGTCAAGGCTGTCTTCTTTTCCCTACCAGGTGAGGCCGTTCAGGAAAGGATGATGTTTATTCATCGTTATATTCCACAGTACATAGTATATATGCCTTGTGCATAGAGGTTCAATATAGTTTTGAATGTATCCTGCCTGGTAACCAGTCTACATCATTAGGTCTTTGATTGCAAAGTAAATGTCTTTTCCCCCCTTTATTATAAAAGGTGTGTAACTTTAGACTTTAGAATTAGTCATCGATTTGTGATGGACCTTATGTACGATTACCAAAGGATTGGCAATGATAGTATCATTTATTGAATGTTGGACATGAAATTCTCAGTCTGATATACTAAGACTCCTAGAGAAAACAGCTTTGTGAGAACATATTTTGTCCTTTTAGGAAAGTGTGGTGTTCTAAACCCAGCATTAAAAAAAATTCAGTATATTGAATAATCCATATTTGTTGAGTATTCACTGTGATTAATATATATCATATTGGGTATATGTTATCTATCACTGTAAGATGTATTAATGTAAGTATGAGAAAAGAAGATCTGGGTCCTTTTATTAGGGAGGTTAGAATTCAAGGACATGAGAAACCTGTGTTACAGGAACATAAAATATAAACCAGTAATTATTTGAGTAGCTCATATAAGAAATTCGATAAAAGTAGTAGTAAATTATGAGTATCGAAAATTTTAAGTAAAAGGTGGGGTTACCAGAGTGATATGAATAATGAAGCCAGGTGAGGATAAGCTGACAAATTTTCAGGTTGCTAAGAGCCTTGGAACAGGATTTATAGATGTCTATCTTTTTAATGTCTATTTAGTAACTTATCTTACCTTTTTTGTTTGTTTGGTGGGTGGACCTCTGTTAGCTGTCTCCTAAAAAGACTTGGGAAGGATTCATTGGAGGATTCTTTTCCACAGTTGTTTTTGGATTCATTGTGAGTATTTCTACAATTTTTGTTTCTTGACATCCTTTCATCCTTTTGAAAAATTATAGTAAGTTTGTCCATCTGTTCTGAATCAGAACAGATTAAAGTAGAAAATGCTGGTGAAGTTATTAAATTCCAGTACTATTCTGTGTACCATATCTGGATAAAAACCAAAAGTTTGAAAGTGTGCATAAGTAAAAACTGTGTATATTGTCCTAAATGCAGTAAGACAGAAATAGTGTCTTTTCTTAGTGTGATGACCAATTGACTTGTGGTCGTATATACTATTACAGTCAGCCAAGTTGTAGAGATATACTATTGATTCTAATATTCTGTTGTGCACTCTGAGCCATGAATACTGAACATTTTAGATGATTTTAAAATATTTCATTTCTACATTTGTAAGCTTTGGGTAAAAAATGCTTAAGAAATGGATATTTTAAGTATTATAGGTGAAAATTGTATAATTACTTTTGAGTCACTGTATTTAAAGTTATAATTATAACTTTATATGCCAAGGAGCCAAGGAGATTGTTGAAAATTAGTTCTAGCTGCATCACTAGCCTCAGCATTTCTGCATCTTATTTCTTGGTATCAAATTTAAGGTTGAAGCAATACATATGAGACTTTTCAGTAGCTGATAATTTCAGATTCGTGATTGAAGATAGTAGCTTGTTTTAAGACCTCTTACCTTATGTTAGTACTAATTAGAATGAGTGTTTATATGTGTAGAATTGGTTCCTTCACCGTGTCTGAGAGAAGACCAGTGCATGTTTAAGAATGCTCACACGGCCCCTGAAGAGGCTATTTTGTTTGTTTCTAGTTTAGGCAAAGGTGTGCATAAGAATGAAACTTTGGAGGCCAGGGGTGGGAATTTAAATACCATGTGTGGTTTGTTTTCTTAATTTTTCCCACAGTTTGACTTAAGATATATGAGTGAGATGAATGAAGGAAATGACTGGAAGAGAAGAAAAGGGTATATTTCACCAGATGAAATCTGTGATAGATCACTTTTTTATAATGCCAACTAAGTGAATCTCTTCTCGTTTCATGAGATAAAAGGCGGATAATTAATGGAAGTTTAATCGGAGCTGAGAACACTGAAATGACCTTTCATTTATACCATTGGAAAACAAGATTGTTAATCATTTTCAGTGGTTTGGTTTGGTTTGGTTGGGGGAATTAGAGGCGCTGACTTCTCATTCATTGTGAAATCAACCTGTAATCCCTGTTCACAAGTTTTATACTTTCCCCCGAACCCACAAAGTTCATAACTGGGACAGTGCAAGCTACATGATATTTTACCCCCTTATCTTTTTTTTTTGCTACCTTTTGGTTTACATTAGTCTATGTACTAGACATCTCCTATGTGCCAGGCACTGTGCTGGTGATACAAAAGGTCAAGTTGCTGCCATTCTGTAGAGGGAGACAACATGTCCTGATACAGAACACAGCCTATAGGGGCAGCTAGGTGGCACAGTGGATAGAGCACTGGCCCTGGTTTCAGGAGGACCTGAGTTCAAATCCAGTCTCAGACACATCACACATAATAGCTGTGTGACCCTGGGCAAGTCACTTAACGCCATTGCCTAGCAAACAAATAAATAAATAAAAAGAACACAGGCTATGAATTATTTTATACACACACAAAGAAAATATATTTTTTATAAAATATAAACAAAATTATACTAGTATGTGTGATACTCATATGACCTAATGATATGCATAGACAATCTAACCTTTATCAAAAGGTTTACTTAACGATAACATGGAGAGGATTTTCATGAAGGATAGAGCATTGGTTCAAGTAGGCACGGTTTCTGATTCTCTGCATTTGCCATGGTAGTTTACCTGGTCAGCAAGGTGTGTTTAGCCTGAGGAGCCTCAGACTCCCCAGACTGCTATTGACGTAGCAGGAAGCTATGCATTTTTGCCTTTGTGTCACAGAACCGTTGTCTTTTAGGAAAAAATTAGTCTGACCCTACGTAGTTGCTTCCACCACAGCAAGGATTCCAAGAGGTAGAGGTGGGAAGGGCGTATCTTCCAGGCATGGGAAAAAGCCCGTGGAGGGCACACAGATGGGACAGGGAGTATTATGTGTGCCGATAGGACAGTGTGGCTGTATCTCTGAAAATCCAACAAGGAGAGTAAAGTAGAAAAAGACTGGAAAGATGGAAAGGGACCAGATTCTAAAAAGGTTTAAACGTCAGAAGAGTTTTTATTTTATCCAAGAGGCAATAGGGAACCAAGCCAGCAGGAATTTATTAAGCACTTCCTCTGTGGCAGCCAGTGTGCTAAGCCCAGAGACTACAAATGTAGTAAAGAACAAAGCCAGCTGCTGCCCTCATCGAGCTGGTGTGCTGTGGAGGGGCAGCAGGGGGTCTGACGGTGAAGTCTGTGGGACAGAGGGCACTTAACAAGATGTGTTGGAGGTGAAGCATTAAGATTTGGTCAAAGGTTGGATATGTGGTGGGGTGAATGGGTTAGTTGAGCAGTGAGGTAGTGAGCCTGGATGACTGGGAAGAGGACAGTGACTTTGACAGTAATGCAGGAGTTTGGAAAGATGGGTGTTGGCCTGGGGAGGGTGGAGTTCTGTTTTGGAAATAAAGCTATTGAGATGCCCGGAGGACATGCAATTGGAGACCACTAATACTAATAATGATGTAGGACTCAGAAGAAGGACAAGGCATATGTGTGTCTGTATCTGTGAGGCAGGGGCACAGAGAAGAGAATTGAACTTATGGGAAGTGATGAGGTGACAGAGAAGAGAAAGGGGTCAAGATAGAGCCTTGAGGTTTACCCAGAGTACATCATCTTGGCCAGATTATGTCCCTCGCTTTCCCTTACCCAGTGAGTCATCCCTCATAACAAAGATTGAAGAAGGAGAAAAGTTTAACAAAACTATTCGGCACGTTAACTACATCTCACCATAGATATATGTGTTCCACACCCATCATTGTCCCCTTCAGGCAAAAGGGGAAGAAGGTTCATTTTCTCAACTCTTCTTTGCCCCCAAATTTGTGGCACCATTGTGGTTCATCATTATTTTTTTCCCATTTACTTTTCTTGTGGACAGTTTGATTTTCAGAATAGTATCACCCAGGACAGCCCTTTGTACATAGTATGTCTGAAAGTGTGTGTTTGAATTTGAATTGGGAGCAAGAATTGACATGTAAAAGTGTAAATATTCTAACTCTAGTCTTTCTGACACAAAACTGAAAGGAGGTTTTTATGCTTGCTATTTAATAGATATTTGTTTTGTTTTACAGGCTGCCTACTTTTTAGCAAAGTATCAATACTTCGTTTGTCCAATAGAGTACAGAAGTGAAGTCAATTCTTTTGTAACTGAGTGTGAACCATCAGAACTTTTCCAACTTCAGACTTACTCTGTTCCTCCCTTATTGAAGGGAGTGTTGAGATGGGTAAGACAAACCTAAATATAAAATCAGTTTTAGAATAATAAAGTTAGCCTTCTAATGAACTGATTTATGTAGGAAATCTCTAATATGGCATAATCTCTGCCACCCTGAGAATAGAGTCCATAGTAAGCTAACTAACTTTGAGGAATTAATTACCTAGAGAATTGCCTTGGGTTTTAGGTACAAATTCCAAGGTATCATTTAGCTCAGATACATCTGTGTGAGAAATATTTAATAACCCTTTGTTTTTCCAGATGAGAGGAAATTCAGTAGAAGCAGGTTATGATAATTAAGAAACTGAATTATAAATGACAAATTCAGCATATTAATCCACTAGGTCAAAGTTAGTTAATTGTAGGCATGAAATAGAACAAAAACTGCTGATATTTCTCAAATCATTTTCTCTTGCAGAATTTTTTGCTGCCATTTTAAAGACTCCTAGGGGTCTAACTTCACATGTGATCAGTTCTGCATTTTGTCCTCTGTACCTTTATTTTAAGGCTATAAAAGGACAAGAGTGTCCTGACACAGAGGATAAGGCTTTCATCTTAGAGTCAGAGATCTGAGTTCCCATTCTGCTTTGGACACTTGGTGGTGTGAACCTGGTCAGGTCTCTTACCGCTTAGCGTATGCTGCAGATTGGTAGGGGGAGGTTCAGCTTTCAGAATCCCCTCTACTGATAGAGTCATCAGTCTGGATGCCCCCTCAACACAAGAACAGGGACGCGTGTCATGTGCCATGCTATGTTGTTTTTTTTTTCCCACATCCCAAGAGTTGTGTGGGATTAGGTACTCAATAAAATTGTGACTGACCACAGCTTCTGTTTCTTTTCCTTCAGGATACAGTGAGCTTGTATCCATTCCAGATACATAGCATTGCACTTTCAACATTTGCATCTTTAATTGGTCCATTTGGAGGTTTCTTTGCTAGTGGATTCAAAAGGGCTTTTAAAATTAAGGTGGGTATGTGCATTCTGTCTCAGAACAGAAGCTGTGGTTGTGCCTGTAATTGGAATTATTGTTCCTCCCTCGGTTGTATACCCTAAACCTCTTGGAAGAAAGGCACTGTCTTTTTTTTGTTTTCCTCACAGATGTGCTAGATAATCTGTAAGCGTCGGCTAACCTAGTGAAAGGTTGTCATAATTGACATGTTGATTTTTTTATTCCATGTGTCAGTTCACAGTGTTAAATGTTTTATATATCAACGAAACTGTTCTATAAAAGTAGCATATATGTACATTGAGTGTGTTGGCAGAATTCATCTCTATCACTTCAGTCTTTAAAAAAAAATTTCTGTGGTGACCAGGTGTGCTCTTCCAGCCCCATTTGAAGAGGAGGGCTGAAGGCTTGGGGCAGAGTTGAGTGGTTTAAGGCGATACAAGAAGTCATCCCTATTCCAGTATGATGGCATTACTACTAGACTTCATCTCTAGTTGTTTATATTTCCTGAAACAAATTTAGATTAGGGTTATTCGATGTCTCATGCTGGGTCATCACGAGGTCAGCCAAGTCTTCCTCCCATCACCCCCAAATTCATCATCACCAAATGCTATAAGCTACACTGACATACATGTTTGGGGCACCCAGGTCCCAAATACAGGGTCAGGATTTGGTGCGACTGAGTCAGTAAGGCAAATAGGATGAAACAAAAATGGCTTTTACTAGAAAACAGCAAAGGTGTTTGCAGACGTTTAATAAGGATATTAATATATCACTGTGCACAGCTCTCTGGATACCCAAGTTGGTGGCAGCAAAAGCCCACAGTGGTGTGAGTAATTTTTTGGGTCCGAAGAGCTATACTCCCCTTTTAGGAACTGGCTTATTTGGGGTTCATCATATCATGAAAGGTAGGCCTTAGCTCATTTAGCTAGTATAGTTTCTTATGTCTAATTTGGAAGTTAAAAATACTCTTATGTCTCTAAAGAAAAATATCTTATGCTGCCTGTAGTTCTGGGTGTCTGTTATAACCTTCACCAGGGGCTTCACATAGACTTAGAATTATTACTCAGAGCCTTAGCCCAAGGCCTGTACATACATTCATCACTGAGGCATTTATTTGCTTTATGTGGCACTCATATGCCCTTCTCCTTAGGGCTAGTGTGCACCTGGCATGTAATGTTTGGTGTAGCTGGTAGAATTTGGTAAGAACGGGTTTGTGGGCTTGCTACCTTGGGTCCAGTGGGAGGGTGAAAAACAGTGACTGCATAACTGTTCCCTGCGACTGCAAAGCTGGTGACTGAACTGATGGAGACCCAGTTGGTTGATCTTGTGATGTGCTGGGAGTTTGCTGGAAACTGGCCGCCAGCCCTTAAGGACCTTGCGGTGGTAGGAGAAGATACCTGACCTGAATATACAGCCACAGGCTAAGTACCAGGTGAATGGTACCAGCAAAAGGCTGCAGGACCTCAGAGTGGGGAGAGGGTTCTTTGAGCAGAGAGAAATTATTTTGTGATTACAAGAACTCAGGGGTAAATGGTGGAAACTTCACAAAATTCTGCAGTTGCTAAGTGGACCTCTGTGTAGCTCATGTGAGCTCTGAGCATTGTTATCCTACCTCCTACTCTCCCATGTAAGTCTCGGGTCCCAGATCAGTCCTTCTTCCCAAGGGTCCCAGTGGTACCTCAGTGGAATTGGAGTGTCAACTAAGAATCATTGTAGTCAGCCAGCCTTGAGTAGTTTTTAGAAATGGGGATTTACTGGTTGGTACAAAACGTCAGCCTAACGACGGGTGACACCTGCTGTCCCACTGATGTGTGCAGGGAAAGAGGCTCAAGGCTACAGAGCACAGGTGGCAGAGCAGTAGCTCACAGTCTCCGCCATTGCTAAAGCTCTGTTCTCCCGATCAAGTGCTCCAGAAGTTTCCCTCAGATGTGGTGCAGGTTCTTTTCCAAGCTCCCAGTGCAGAGCTGGGATGCTCCTAGGACACCAGTGGGCAGAGGAGAAGTCCACATTCCTTCAGAAACCACCAAGCCAAATTTCTTGAGGTCTTCCTCTTGCCAAAGTGGGTGTGTGGGGTGGGGGAACATGAAACCTCTTCTTCCGTCCCCTCCTCACCAAGCAGTTCCTTCTAAGGGGGGTTAGCAAGAATGCTGCACTTGCTTCTGTCTGTGGAATGACTGGCCCTAATCACGCTTGATTATTTTATACACATCCCCCCTGAAGCATGATTAAGTTTCATAGGTCTATCTTTTCTTCTGGAACATCACTCTCATTCCAAGAACTTTTCACATTTAGTCTATGAGGTTGATAGCTTGGGCATTTTATCACGTACTTGAATAAGTCAATCCATTCCACTCTTAACCTCAGTGCTCCTGAACTTCTGCCCCTCATTGCCCCGCAGTGCTGATCGACCGACCATGTAACTGGAAAGAGTCGGGGAGGTTCTGGCCAGTTTTCCACATTGAGTCCATGTATGATTGTGGACTATTGGTGTAGACTTTTCCAAGAATTGGAAAGGCAGTAGGCTTTCTGTACTGAAAAAATGGGCTTTACATTTGGCAGAAAATCACAGCTACACCAGTTTTTCTCATCCTGGACAAACTGAAGCACCAGAAAATCTGGTGCACATCTAAGGACGTGACTGATTTTTGTTTGTGTGAATTTTTTTGTGTTTGGAAGGATTTTGCAAACACCATCCCTGGACACGGAGGAATAATGGACAGGTTTGACTGCCAGTACTTGATGGCGACTTTTGTGCACGTGTACATTACCAGCTTCATAAGGTACAGACTTGTGTTGACTTACAGTGCTATAGCAGATCACTTTATTTTTTGCGTGTGATGTTATTAAAGATGTCCTTTTAAAATTCTTTCACCTCTGGGTGCTGTCTTTAATAAACTTGGAACAAGGGTACAGTTAGTGTGGTACTTTATATAGGAACAATCTTAATTAAGGTTTCTAGTGTCTCAACTTTTGTCATTTATTTGGGATGGAAAGGGAAGAACATTATTACTGACAACACTCAGTTCACTTGCTATTAAATGTGGCATTTTGTAATAGGGAAAGATTGTGCCTCTAGGTATATTCAATTTTATTTTTCTAGCGCTATTTTTTATTGTAGTAGAATCCATTTATTATATTAGTGTTGAGTGTTGACTAATTTTATTGTTTTTTTTTTCTTTTGGCTAGGCAATGGGGTTAAGTGACTTGCCCAGGGTCACACAGCTAGTATGTGTTATGTGTCTGAGGCCGGATTTGAACTCAGGTCCTCGTGAATCCAAGGCCAGTGCTCTATCCACTGCGCCATCTAGCTGCCCCCGAGTGTTGACTAATTTTAGAGGCCTTTAATATTCATTTAATCATTTTATTTGGTTAGTTATATTTAAATTGATGTCATTTATGTGGACATTGTATTGTAGATTTATTATTTTCTTGAATTACTTGATGAATCAATAAACAACATTTTTTAGACAAGCATAGTTAACCATATTGACAATAAAAACAACAAAAATCATAGGATTACTTGAGTTAAATGCAGTAAAAACTTGACCAAATACAATACTCATTCCTATTTAAAACACTAGAAAGCATAGGAATAATGTGAGCTTTTTTAAAAATGATCTGTAGTATCTCATAGCAAGAGCAGGCATTAGCTGTAGAGGGAGGGGGCGGCTAGAAGACTTTCATATGGAAGAGCAAGTGAAATGCTGATATCCATTATCACATTGGTATAGTATTGTACTAGAAATGCTAGCTGTGGCAATTAGGCAAGAAAATTAAATTAAAGGAATAAGCCTAGATAAAGAAGAAACAAAATTTGTAACTTTTTGCAAATATGAGAATCTTAGAGAGTCAACTAAAAACCTGAGACAATTAACAGTTTCAAGCAAAGTTGCAAGGTAAAATTTAAACCCACAAAAATCACCCACATTTTGTATGTATTATAAACAGAATAAGTCAAGATAGAAAGAGAAATCCCATTAAAATAACTACAGACAGAATCCTGCCAATATACGCAAAGGAGCTTTACAAACACAATTATAAAGTACTATTTACACAAAGGCAGATCTACATAATTAGAGAAATAGTTGCTCGTGGGTAAGCTGAGGCAATATGATAAAAATCGTGATACTCCCTGCATTAATTGACTTCAGTGCCATACCAGTCAGACTATCTAAGGACTACATTATAGAGCTAGAAAAAATCATGACATGCATCTGGAAGGAAAAAAGATCAAGAAAATATCAAAGGAATCAATGGAAGAGAAATGGAAAGGAAGTGAGCCAGCAGTACCTGATTTCAGACTGTCCTGCACAGCCACAGTTGCCAAAACATTTTGAAACTAAGCAAGAAATGGAAGAGGTTGATCAGTGGAATGTGTCAGGCACACAATATACAGAAGCAGATGAGGGCAGTAAACGAGAGGCTGATAAATGGGAGCAAGAACTCACTATTCAGCAAAAAGTGTGGGGAAAACTGGAAAATAGCCTGGCAGAAGCTGTGTATAGATGAGCATCACCCCCAGTACAAAGAAAAGCTCCAAACAGGCACATGGTTTAGACATCAGAAGTCTGTTGGAAGCATGGGAGAATCTGCCAGCTTTATGGAGCCCATGGGCCTGGGGAGAGGACTAGGGTCTGACCCAGAGTCCTGCTGCATGCAGCTGAAATCAGAGCCATTCATAATCTTGACAAACTATAAACTGTATCTTTTTTCTTTTGTCACCAGGGGCCCAAATCCCAGCAAAGTGCTTCAGCAACTGTTAGTGCTTCAGCCAGAGCAGCAGTTGAATATCTACAAAACCCTGAAATCTCATCTCATTGAGAAAGGACTTCTCCAGCCATCCCTGAAGTTATAGCTGGATCCATGAGGAACTTTAAGCAATTCTGTAGAAAAGCACTGACATATATTTTGCACTTGTCTAGAAAAAATGATTTAATATGCAGTAAATTGAGGTTTTTAAAGACACAAATGTTACTTCTCTAAAATTACTGTGAATATTTAATAAACATTTGATCCACGTATGAAATATGTAACAAATTGCCTGCAAACTATCCTGTATTTTTTCTAGTGTATCTCATGATATTGACAAGACTCTTTATCTGCAGGGTTTCAGAATGGAAGAACTCAAATACTCTCAAATGTATAATTAAGGAAATGTTAAGGTTGTCCTGGATATATCCCTTGGCCAAGTATTTGTCCATGCAATTCAAAACAGCCCTTTTAGCTAAAGGTTTATAGTGCAGTAGAAAATCCACTTGACCAGTAGATTCTTGTTATTTTATTCTGAACTATTTTCTCAAGGATAACTGTGTTACTAAGGCATGAATATACTTAATTGAAGAGAATAAAATCATTTGTCAGGCAAAAAGATATATATTTTTTAAGATGAGGGTAAAATAAAGAGGCTAATCTGTGTCTTATGAGACAATTGGCCAGCATTTAACTTTGTAATTAAATTGTGTGTAACGTTCTCTAGTATCATCAGTGTGACTCAAGGAAAATATGAAGAGCTGTTCTGCCTGAGGTACCCGCTGTCACAAGCACTCCTTTGGGGAAATGGATTCAGAACAGTCACAGGTCCAAAAAAAAAAAGACCCCCAGTTTAGTTAGTAGACATCTGGCAAGATATTTGCAGTAAGCAATTTAGACTTAAGCCCGTTTCAGTTTCCTTTCCTCGGCTGTGTTGGCTTTATCAGAGATGCTGACTGCACACTGTGTCACCAGGGGCTGCTTCTGCACCATTGGCTTATATCGTGATCTATCTTTAAAGTCATGAGTAAATCGTTGAACTTGAGGAAGGAGACTTCGATCGAGAACAGAAAGTCCAAGAAGGCCAAGCCTTTGCTTTGGTGTTCTGGAGACCTGAACCTAATTACATTTCTCATAAATGGATCTAAACAAACTACTGATGCTATAGAAATTCTCGCTCTATTTACTTAATTTACTGGTTGGAGCTAACACTTGAAGAAATTTAGTGCTCCTGGATAGAACGACATTGGGAATAACAGATGTGTTTGTAAAGAACATTACACTAACAAGAACCGTAAACGTTTTTATGTCAGAATTAAATTCCAGTTGCTTTTGAATATGTAAAGTGAGAAGTTTCTTTCAGCCTTAGGCACTATGTAAGTATTCTGTAAATAGCCTGGAAACATGAGAAACAGTTGAATGGAGAGCTAAGAATTCTACTGCTTAGTCCTACATTCATTTGGTTATTTGTTATTGAATGAGTACAATCAGCAATATTTCGTTGTGCTTTTCAATAAAAATCTCGAAATGGCATTGGAAAATTCTTTGATGAGTTTCAGAATTAGGCTGCTTATCATTTGTCTGTTTTTTCTCTTTATTTGTTCCATCGATCACTAATAGCAAATCATAAAAGTACTTTGGATGTATGTAAACACACATGTGGTGGACTTTATAAAGTAAATATGTATATATATGTGTATGTGTATCGGGAAGCTTGTTAGGTATGTTTTAATTGGCTGTCTCATACACGTGTGCATGTTTGTATAGAAAAAATCTAAATTTGGGAAAAATCTAAAACAGGTCATTAATTGCTAGATATTATGAAACAATTAGAAGAGTCTAAAGAAATAGCTATCTTTTAAATGATGAAATGCATTATAAAATATAAGCCTATAATGGCCTTTTTGAGTTACAGATAGGACTTCAAATTGGGCATACATTCTATGTGTAAAACAGTCTTAATTTTTATTTTAACAGAGCTATAAAGATTTCACTTTTTTTAGAGTAATTTTATAGTATGTATCTTAAAATAGAGTCTATTTTAACAAATGCAACCTACCCAAGTGGGTCATTTTTATATTTACACTGAAGAAATATTTCAAGATAGTAATTGTGATGGTAAGAACAAAGCTAGCATCTTTTTCAGCCATAATAATGGCCAATTATTCTAAATTTACCTTTTTTTAAAAAAAATTAAGTATTCTAGTTATTGCTTTCTGCTCTTACATTTGCTGGCTGTTTAATCTGTGGAAGGCAGAAAACTTCCTTTTAGTGTTTTTTTTCTGTGCCCCCCCATTGGTTCATAGATCAGTGTTTTCTGTTTAAGAATGCAATCAATAAATGAGGTGGGGGGAGGGCGGATCTTCTTTTCAATTGTTGGCTTCTCTTCACTTATATTTCAGTTTTTGCAAGGATGTCAATGTAGATACTGTCTACAGGTGCCAGTTTATTACATGTATTCAAGAGGGTTGCCTAAATCTACTAAAGCTGGGTCAAGGGAGAAATAAAACTTAAAACTCCATTATAGACTCTTGTAGTTTTCTCCTTTTAGTTGGATAGAAATGTCCTTAATGAATGTATCTGCACCGTGAAAAATTATTTCAGTTTGCAAATCTTACTCATGTGACTGATAAGGGACCTCAGGGAACATGTAAAAGCATGGTAGAAGTTAATCACCCCAAATAACCTAATAGTTGCCTATGGTTCAGGAATTATTTGAAGGCACACAGAAATATGATATCCCAAATTATGGGGAACTGCCACAAATCTATAAGCCATTCCACTTTAGACATTTGGTCAGAGGGTATGAGCAGGTTTCAAAAGATAGATGTAGACACTTATCAACCACCTGCAGAGGAGGGGGGTAGGAAGAGGAAGCCAGGTTATTCTTATAGTTATTCCTGGAGAAGATGGAGCCCCTGGACTTGATTGAATGGGTAGGATGGGGAGGTGAGGGTGGAGCAGCATGAAATGGTCACATTTCAGCTTTGGTGGCTATGGGGAGCATGGACTGGAGTTGGGGGAGGACAGGGTAGGACAACACTGCAGGCCATCACAGTAGTCCAGGTGCCGATGGCCTGTTCCAGGGTGGTAGTATTATCAGATGAGAGAAGGTTGTATACAAGAGACCATTTTGTAAACTTAGAAATAACAAAACAGTGGTTTATATCCTTCGAGGGGAGAGTGAAGAGTTGAGGGTGGTAACTAGGTTGCAAGCCCAAGTGACAATCAACAGACATGATTCGTGGGAGCTTATGAGATCACCAAGTGAAATAGTTCAGAGAGAAAAAAGGTGAGAGCCCAGAACAGAGCCTTGAGGGACACCTATGGTTAGCAGGTATGACCTGGATGAAGTTCCCACAAAGGATTCAGAGAAGTCTGGAAGGTAGGAAGAGAAAAACAAAGGAGATTATCACAGATAAATGGGTGAGCAGTAGTTAAAGACTGAGGAGAGGTCAAGAGGGTTGAGGATTGAGAAAAGGCGATTTGATTTGGCATTTAAGAGATCACTGATATCTTTGGGGAAAGCAGTTTTGATTGATGATGGAGTCAAGTCAGACTGCAGAGAATTTAGAAGAAAGAGAGGAAATGAAAAGGAAACAGCTATTGTAGACAGCCTTGGCAAAGAGTTAGCCATGAAGGAGGGGAGAGATGGAGGACAAAAGCTAGTGGGGATGACTTGATTGAGGGTTTTTGGGAAGATGGAGGAGAAATAAGCATCTCTAGGAAATTTGTAAGCATCCTGTAGATGAGGAGAAAGAGTAGGGATAGTGGAACCATCTACTGAAGAAGATGGGGTCACCTGTGCATGTAGAGTTTTGCTGTGGCAAGGAAAAGGGCCCCACTCAGTGTGAAAGAAGATGAAGTTCTAGTGGTGGAAAGCATCAGTGATGTGAGAGGAGATGGAGGAGAAAAGAGAAAGGTCCAGCCAAATGCCTTCAGTTTTTCAGTGAAATAAGAGATAAGTTGTTCCCTAACAGGCAGGATCTTATACCCCTGAGACTGGCTAGGGCTTTTTAATGCCCCTAAACCAGGATGTTGACTCAAGGAAGCTAGGGCAATCAGGAAAGGGAAGGAAGTTGCCTGGGAGGAGGAAAACGCTGGTCCTATCACACCTTCCCTAGTGGAAAGGCTTCTGGTCATCGCCTTTTGTGGACCTGGGTTGAAAATTGTTCTTACTGCAGTGTTTCCTTGGATGTCTTGATCTTTACTTGATCTAGTATTCTTCATCCTCAATAGAGTCGTTTTTCAGAGCTGGGCTTTCTGCTCTGGCCACTCTCTAACATCTGCAGCTGACTTACTTATTATGACATGAGTCCAGGCAGCCTATCTGAGATTCTTATGGACTGCAGATCCATAAGGTAAGGTTTGCCTCATTCCTTAATCAAACAAAACCCTCAGTGTGTAATTCCTTTTTGTAAGATCCCCACATCTATCTAGGGGTGATTTTGAGTTTGTTTTCCTTTTAAGTTAACCTTACCTTAATGGGGAATGAATTGAGAATTCCATTTGGATTTTCTTAAATGAGTGATGTAAAAAATAGAAAACAATAGAATGGGAAAGATGATAGTTCTTCCAGAAAATGAGAGATATTAGGGGAATGTTTCATGCAAAAATTTCAAGGCCAAGAAATGTTCAAATGCTGAATAATTGTGCTCATTTCACACACCAGCAAAGTTATGCTTAAGATTCCATAAACTACACTTCAGCAATCTGTGAACCAAGAGCAGTCTGGTTTTTGAAAAGGCAGAGGAACTAGAGACCAAATTGCCAACATTCAGTGGGTTATGGAGAAAGTAAGGGAGTTCCAGAAATTCACTGGATTATAGACAAAACAAGGGAGTTCCAGAAAAACACCTACTGCTTCCTTGACTACACTAAAGCCTTTGGCTGTGTAGATCACAACAAAATGTGGCAAGTCCTCAGAGATTGCTGGGTCATCTAGCTTGTTGCCTGAGAGACCAAGAGGCAAGAGAACCAAACATGGAACAACTGATTGGTTTAAGATTGGAAAAGGAGTACAACAAGGCTGTATATTGTCATATATATTTAGCTTATGTATGGAGTACATCGTGCGAAATGCCAGGCTAGATGAATTTTAAAAAAAACAGTTAAAGTTGCTAGGACAAATACCGACAATCTCAGATATGCAGATGATACCACTCTGGTGGCAGAAAGTGAAGAAGAATTAAGAAACCTCTTGATGAAAATGAAAGAGGAGAGTGTAAAAGCTGGCTTGAAGCTTATCAACAAAAAAACAAACCAAAAAACTAAGGTCTTGACAACTGGCCCACTTTCTGGCAAATAGAGGTAGAAGAAATGGAAGCAGTGTCAGATTTTATATTTTCAGGCTCAAAGATCACTGCAGACAGCGACTACAACCATGAAATTAAGACATTTGCTCCTTGGGAGGAAAGTTACGGCAAATCAGCACAGCCTACTAAAAAGCAATAACACTACCTTACCAGCAAAGGTCTGTAGAGTCAAAGCTATGGCTTTTCCAGTAGCAATGTATGGCTGTGAGAGCTGGATTAAATGGAAAGCTGGGCACCACAGAATCGATGCTTTCAAATTGTGGTGTTAGAAAAGATTTTTGAGAGTCCTTTGGTCAGGAGGGATATCAAATCAGTCAATACTTAAAGAAATTAATTCAGATTATTCACTGGAAGGTCAAATGCTGAAGCTGAAGTTTAAATACTTTGGTCATGTAATGAGAAGACTTATTGGAAAAGACCCTGAGGTTGGGAAAGATTGAAGGCAAAAGGAGAAGGGATGGTAGGGGACGAGATGGTTAGATAGTGTCATAGAAGCAATGAACATGAGCTTGGACAGATTTCAGGAGATAGGGGAAGATAGAAGAGCCTGGGGTACTAAGGTCCATGGGGTCATGAAGAGCCAGACATGACTGAATGATTGAACAACAACAAATACATAAATCATGTCTACAACGTGTGTGTGTATACACAATTCATTCAATAGGGAATATCCAGGCTCAGGAACATTTGTAGAGGCATACCCTTTTGCTTGATTCAGAGGGCAACAGAGGAGAGGTGGATGGGGAGAAAAGAGACTTTCTTCTTCCTCCACCCATTGACCATGACATTTGAACCATTGGAAATTTAGGAAACAATGCATCTAGACACAAGTAGAGACACAGACTTGAGGACAGACACAGATGCAGGGAAGAGGACCTTTCTGACACATAAGGGAAATGGCAGTTCAAGGAGGGTAGCGGATACCACATGGCAGAAATGAGTAAAGACTATAGATTTGAAAAAGGACAGTACTAGAGGTTGTGTTACTCTTTTTTTTTTTTTGGTGCTTCCTGTAATTTTATTGTTTTTTTTCTTTTTTAAATATAAATCTATTTATTTTTAGTTTTCAACATTCACTCCCACAAGTTTTTGAGTTCCAAATTTTCACCCCATCTCCCCCCTCCCCCCACCCCAAGATGGCGTGCATTCTGAATATCCCTTCCCCTAGTCTGTCCTCTCTTCTATCTCTCTCCCCTTCTCTTATCCCTTTCCCCTTCTATTTTCCTGTAGGGCAGGATAGACTTCTGTACCCCATTTCCTATATTTCTTATTTCCCAGTAGCATGTGAGAACATTTTTTTAAAACATGTTTTTAAAACTTTAGGTTTCAAATTTTCTCTCTTCCTCCCTCCCCACCCACCCTCATGGAAAAGGCAAGCAACTCAATATAGGTTACATGTGCAGTTATGCAAAACACTCCATAGTAGACATGTTGAAAAACTAACTCTATTTCCCTTAATCCTATCCTGCCCCCCATTTATTCTATTCTTTCTTTTGACCCTGTCCCTCCTCAGAAGTATTTCTTCTGATTACCCCCTTTCCCAATCTGCCCTCCTCTCTATCATCCCCCTGCTCTCTTGTCCCCTTCTCCCCCTATTTTCCTGTAGGGTAAGACAGATTTCCATACCCAATTGAATGTGTATGTTATTCCCTCCTTAAGCCAAATCCTATGAGAATAAGATTCACTCATTCCCTCTCACCTTCCCCTGCTTTCCCCTCCACTGTAAGAGACTTTTCTTTTTTTTTTTTGTGTGAGATAATTTACCCCATTCTACCTCTCCCTTTCTTCTTCTCTGAGTATAATCCTCTCTCATCCCTTAATTTTATTCTCCAGATATGACCCCTTAATCTTCAACTCACCCTGTGCCCTCTATCTATCTATCTACATATACATATATAATTTTTTTCCTCCAACTACCCTAATACTGACAAAGGTCTCATGAGTTATAAATATCATCTTTCCATGCAGGAATGTAAACAGTTCAATCTTAATAAGTCTCTTATGATTTCTCTTTCCTGTTTACCTCTTCATGTTCCACTTGAGTCCTGTATTTGAAAGTCAAATTTTCTATTCAGCTCTGGTCTTTTCATCAGAATGCTTGAAAGTCCTCTATTTCACTGAATGACCATTTTTTCCCCTGAAGGATTATACTCAGTTTTGCTGGGTAGGTGATTCTTGGTTGTAATCCTATCTCCTTTGCCCTCCA